TCTTTCTTGTTCAGAGTATCTTTCTCGCTCTTACTAAAACTCATCCCGGTATCTTGCGTCCTGGTTACAGAGATATGAATGAGATAACGGAAACAGTGAATGGATCATTGCGCCTCGAGTACCCACCAGAGGAATACATTCAATCGTCCTGCACACCATTATATACATTGTATGTCGTGTCTGTGTGTGTTATGTACAGATACATATATTATATTATACATGTTATGTGTTACATGTTATGTTATATGTGTACATTTATAAAGTCGTACAGTATTCTATATGTATTGCGCTTTCACTCTCATCGCTTACAATTTCCATTCATTTATTTCGAGTACGCTTTTTTATGTACATACTCTGTTTTATATATTTGTTTATGTCTTTTGTATAGATATAGATATATATGTTTATATGTATACAGTAAAACTGAGTACGAATAAAAAGAATGTACTTTTATTTTTTAAGTTCACCGATCTAACATTTTAACGTCAAGTATCAGGATTTATATGGCTCAATAGAAAAATAATAAACAAACGGATGAAATAAAAATAAAGAAAAAAAAAAGTCTGAAAAAAAAAAAAAGATACGTACATAACATACATATTAAGATATTACGGCAGAGTAATATACTTTAAATACAGTTATAAAAGAGACTATTATTTTTTTTGCTTTCACGAGGGGGAGTCAACTTTGTCACTTTTTAAGCGGCGTTTATTCGCTCACCCTCCTGTACGTATGCTTTAATATATATAGACACGGTTTATGTGCGAATGTGTGTCTGTGTATATTATATGGGCACAGAGACATAGTTTACAACAAATGCAAAGCTTACGTTCTGCACACGTGGGTGCAACTGAATTACTATTATATTGTTATATATTATACGGATATGTACATAAAATTATCGCTTTAAAATTTTCATTCAAACTATTCTATCACGGGAATTTTACTCTTTTATATTTAACCCCAGAGCAATAAAATTCCCCTATCGTTAGGTAATAAAACAATTAGGGATAAAATTTCGATAAAAAATTTATCGTATTTTTCTTTTTAAAATAAAAACAAATTAACTTGAATCAAGAGAAAAATTCTTGAACTCAGAAAATAAGTTTGAAGAGTTTCATTGTCTTGTATTAAGACGAAAAATTCTTCAATCAAGTAAAATTTACTTAAACCAAGAAAAATTTCTTAGTTTAAGAATTTTTATACTCAAATCAAGAAACTGAACCCTTAAAATTATTTTCTTGATTCAAGTTAATTTTTCTTTTTATATTAGTAATAATAGTTATTATTATTATTATGGATGATGTTTGCATGCTTTCATAAAATTTTGGGAAATTTTAGTACATTGTTGCAGTCAGGTATAATCTTTTAGCAAAAATGAGATTTTAATGATAAGTAGTTAAGGATCCTCACTAATGCTTCGTTACGATTCTCGTTTTAAATAACAAGATTATTTCTATTGTGCTAGATATTCGCATTTTCAACCTAACAATTGAAAAATATTTATCATTGTAAGAATTATTTTAACTATAAATTAAAGATCTGTTTCTTAAATACTTTTTAATAGAATTTTAATTTGAATAGTTTTTAAATGTTTTAGTTATTTGAAATTGAAGAAACGCGTGTAAAAGAAAATTGATAGAAAAATGGCTTAGAAATGTGATAAAATAAAATTTAAGTTGTTGTTATTACAGCTGGATTAGCGAAAGAATGCCAAGTTTAAGCAGTCGGCTGAGTATTATGCTATGACTCGTGGGAAAAAAATAATCGCTGTCTTCCGCTAATCTGGGACGGTAATATTATTGAACCTCGGATTAAGAATTTTAAGTTGAAAGTACATACTGATAGATAAATTTTTCAACACAGAGATTATGACTAATAGAAGTTATTCAAAAATAAATTAATTTTTGAAATACAGTTCAGAAAATTAAATAAAAAACATGAATATTTTGCATGAGTAAAATTAAAAAAAATCAATATTGATAATAATTATAAAAATAATTAAAAAAAAAATTATTCCTTAGAATTAAGACTAGAAAATTGAGGAAAATTAAAAAAAAACGTGAATATTTGCATGAAAAAAATTTAAAAAGTCAATATTGATAATAATTATATAAATAATAATGAAAAAAAAAATTTATCTATAAAATAACGATTAGAAAATTTGATAAAAAAATGTGAAAATTGCATAAATAAAATTAAAAAAAATCAATATTAATAAAAATTATATAAATGATAATTAAAAAAAAATTAATCCTCAAATAAAAATTAGAAAATTAAATAAAAAAGTGAATAATTGAATAAATTAAATTTAAAAAATTAATATTGATAATAATTTTATAAATATTTGAAAAAAAAAATAAATTTTTAGAATAAAGATTAGAAAATTGAATAAAAAAAATAAATTTTGCATGAACAAAATTAAAAAAATCAATAAAGATAATAATTTAAAAAAAACAATCCTTACAGAATGTAAGTATGAATATAAAAAAAATGAAGTGAATATTTGCATAACTAAAACAAAAAACAATAAATAAAAATAATAATACGTGTGAAGCATGTGGCCAAGGCGAAAAATAACGAGACAAAAATTTATCTAGAAAAGATTAAGATAACTTAGTAAGAAAAAATAAAAACGTAAAACTTGGACTAAAATGAAATGAAGAAAAACAAATAAAAAAGTTGAAGGCTTTGGGCCGTGGTCATCAGTATGAGCATCAGAGATCAGAGAGTAGAGACAGCGTCAGCGGTGTTATTTGAAATTTAGGAGCCTTTGCATGATTCCAGGAAATATAACCAGCAGGCGCGAGACCGATCGTTGTTGTACGTTCTATAGGATGGGCTGAGGGTTTAGTTTCAGTGGATCGTGATTCAGTGGGCTGCGTTATGTGTCGGCCGTGGCTCGGAAAGTCCGCGGGTTATTTGGGAGCACACATATAGACCTACATAGATATATACACATTAACTGAGAGAGGAGCGAGCTCGGCAATGATGACAAGAAGGCCATGCCAGGGTTTTGGGTTTGGAAAGGGACAACAAGAGAGAGACCTCTGTTCAATACAACGTACAACGTACAACATATAACGTATAACGCGAACGCGAACGTGAACGCGGATAACGAGGGTTTTGTCAGACGGAGAAAGATCTCGTCTAATTTCTCTCTTCCTCGGTTCTCGGTTCTCGGGTCTCTGCTCGTATCGCTGAGTGAGTGCCACTCTGGGAATAAGGGGACAGAGCGCGACGCTCGGAAGGACCCGGGGGGGCGAGGGGCTGCTTAAGGAGGAGGAGAGGAAGGAAGAGAGCACAGGCCTGTGCTGTCAGACTAGAGCGAGAACGCGGTTTGCTGGCTGTTGGCTGCTGGTTGCTGGTTGCGGGTCGCGGGGCGAGGGACAAAGTCGCCGACGACAACGGCCGGGTGAAGAGGCGAACCCGAGGAGCCCCAGGGGCGATGAAGGGGGAGGGCAATACTCACCAGAGCACCACACCAGACCAGAGGAGAGAGGAGAACCAGCGGCGTCGCGAGTCCGCGGAAACTCGGCGTCCACCGGCACAGTTGAGCGTCGCGATTCGTCGCGAGAACATCGTCCAACTTTAACAGCCGCGGTTTCATTTATCAATCTCGCGGATTTCATTTAATTCTTATCATCCCGAATCATTTCGTCTATTTTTTCCCTCGCGGCTGACCAAACATCGTTGTTGTACTACTAGATTTAAAAACTAGGCCGCAAAAGTGTAATTAATCTGGACGAGGGAGAAAAATTCTACTTAAAGAGGAAGAAGAAGACAATTACCGGAGACAAATTAAATAGTGGGAGTTCTTTTGGCAATACAGCCAATCAACGATTGATTACCAAAGGACCAAACTATACCTAGCTCACGTTTAAGCAAGTGCTAGCTACACTTTGACCATCATAGATACATACATACATACATACACGTGCTGTGTACTCTGTAAAGGACTGAAGGACAGTGTAAGGGTGGAAGAGCTTGAGGGAGTAACTTTACTGAAGGTACTGAGACCGGAGAGGGGGCAGCAGTTACTGCCGGCTTATGCACAGTACACAATACACACACTACCCAATGATGAGCAGTAGAGGGGGACCTAACAGGCATTAGAGAAACGTGCGTATAGTGTTAGTATAGTGTAAGCGGTCGGAGCGGAGGGTATATGTAAGACACCGACGTCGTGAAAATCAGTTCAGGTCGAGCACTTTCAGAGTTAACACTGACCCGACTGGTCATTGATTTTAACTACTTACTAGTAGTAAGTACTACTAAGTGTTCGGATATTGGCTGAGTTTTCAAATATTTTTGCGTTTTATTTTTTTTTTCCCTCCGAGGATTATTGAAGTGAAATTTTTCAATTCCTTTCGAGTGGATTTTTACTGACGACTATCGACGGTGCCAAAGACGACTGTTGTATAACTAAACGCAGACTTAGTTCAGTACTAACAGTCGGAGATAACTAGAACACGCGGGTGAAACGATAATCTTATCGTGGTGTGTGCAGTGAGACGATACTCGTCTATCTTTGATGTGAATTTTTAAAAATTTTTGAGTTTTGTGGTTTGAAAATTTTAAGTGGAGTTTTGTGACTATTTAAAGAAAAACAGACAAATTAATATTTTAATTAATAACCTCGTGGTAGATGAATAATATCATTTCCCGCGCTTACATTGGATTGGCTGTGTTGGTTAGTGAGGGGCGCGCGGAAGAGTAACTGAGTGCCGTTTTACGGGAGACTTTACTCTCTTACTCCCCTGTATACAAAACCAGTGGTGGGAGTTGTGTTCATTCATAAAAAACTCTTTATTACTGTGAGCGCATGTGCTATTCTACTACGTGGAAACATCCTCTCTCATCCCCCCGTTATTCTGTACACAGTAACACACAGTTCCAGTGTTACTTACTGTTAAGCTTTCAAATTACTACTATCTGAAAAAAGCAAATTTTTTTTTGCTTAAATTTTATTTTATTTTGATAAAATTAACTTCAACAAAATGAAGGGAGACACAGCGAGACCTGGAAAACGACCACTGAGATCCATGTCCAACGAGGAGAAGATCGAAGCAATCGAGCGAGTCCACGGAGGCGCAAGCAAAGCGTCAGTTGCCCGCGATATTGGAGTTCCTGAGTCGACACTTCGGGGGTGGTGCAAATCAGAGGATAAAATCCGCTCACTCGTGATAAACCCACCGCCTTCTGACATCGAAGCTAACTCACCTTTATCAGTCGCCAGCAATCCAGCTCCAGCTGTTTCTACCGACGCATTTTACGGCGACGAGGTTCCAGCGGCGAAAAAACTAAAAACCGACCACCAGAGAAGAATATCCAATTCTTATGGAGTTAAAGAAAATTTGGAGAACGACGCGAGTAGGATACCTGATCTTGACTACATAAAGATGTTCAGCGTACTCGCTCAAGGCGGATTTTCAAACCCAAGCCAGATTGCGCTGCTTCAGCAGTTCAATTTGGGTTACAATGTTAACAACTTCAACCATTTGCTCGACTACGCGAAAATGGTCTCTGTACCCACCACCAATGGACTTTCCGCGAGTCTTGTAGAGAACGGTCTTCAGTATACCAGAAACAGCAAAAATTCCAGCAGACACAGCATTGGAGTCGCCACACCGATCCAGAGGAACGATCAAAGAAATGACTCCCACGCTTTGAATTACGGCCGCAAAAGTCTACCTTCTGCTGCTGAAGCGCCGTCTTTGAGCTCGATCAGTCCCAGAAGGTCTCCGGAAATGGGTCGCCAGTCTAAAAGCAAAATTAGGAACCCTGCTCCTAGTCGAGCGCGCAATTACTCCAACAATTATCACAATCATAGTAATAACATCAATAATTACTCCAATGCAGCTAGCTCGAATAATAATAATAATAATAATAATAATAATAATAATAATAATAATAATAATAATAATAATAACATCAATGCTGCTGTTAGGAACATCAACAACAACAAAAATAATTACAATTTCAACCACTTAAATGAACCCTTGTGGGATTACAAACTCGCTCAACAGCAAGCGATCGACATGGCGACGAATTACAACAAGAATCGGGAAATTCCGTTCTTCTCCTGGTACATTGACAACATCATCGAGGCACAGAAGATGGGAACTACTCCAGCTGCAAGCACCGCTGCGATGCCGACTCCAGTTTGCATGACGACCACGGCGACCTTCAGTCCAGTGGTTACTCAGGCAAAACAGGCCAACTCCTTCAACAGCAAAAACCGCGCAATTCTAGATCAAATATTGCACAATAACAACAATAACACTGACAATGTTAAGACGAGCATCAATGTCACTGCTGCCAACTCCAATGAAAACAGCCGAGATGGAGCAGAAGAGTATGATGATGAAGAAAACAAACCTATCACTAAATTGGAGGCTATTGAACACGGTAAAAAATTTTTGTCATTTTTAAGCAAAACAGAAAACCCTTCTGTTACTATGGTGCATATTATGCAATTTACAAAGTTGCTTAATAAAGTTCAGACCCAGGATTTTAAAATTAGAAGAACTAAATTAAGAAAAAATTCTACGGTCATTCAGTACACGTCCGAGAGCTCTGAAACGTCGGAAAATAATGAATAGAGATAATCTTTGTATTTATTTGAGTATTTAATATTTCATATGGTTAATAATGATCAAAGTTATAGACTTTGGTTTGTGATTTTAATTGCTTATTAATTATATGATTAATTTTTGGTAGCTTGCTCGAGGACTAAATAGTTTATTCTTTATTTATTTTTATTATTTGTCCAAATATTCATTTAGTGGTTTTGATGATTAACTGTAAATATTCAGTATTGACCTTTATTTTATTAATGGTTCAATTTATTATCAATATTGATTAATCAAACTGTAAATATTCATTCAAAAGTTATTTTTAATTATGAGTGCAAATATTCACTTTGGTTTAAAGATTCATTCGTTAATGAATCACCTGTAAATAATTTACTTTAATTTTCAGTTAATTATTATTCTATTATTATTATTATAATTTGTTAGAGTTAAGGTATACCGATTATCTTTTTTTACCTCATTTAAAGATTTTGTAAATATTATGAAACCAAAAGATCTTGTACAACTAAGTAATTTTAATTGAGAAAAAAAAACAACCAGCGATTAATAAAATAGTTAATTAATGTAAATATTAATTAAGAAAGATAAAAATTAAAAGAACGAGAAAATCATTTTAACAGTTTTATAAATTTATATAAAAATTATATACGAACAGTAATATTATTGTCAACTGTAAAATTAATATTTTTTTTTCTCATTCTTTTTTTTTTTTTTTACTAATCGCGACGGTTTTGAAAAATTGTCTTTGGCAATTATAATAATTTTTTAGTTTGAGTAAAATGGATAAAAAAATAAAAAAAAAAAATAAAATAAAATTGGTCCAAAGTGTCATATCAATAGTATTTAAATAGTTGTCGCGAATACTGATCTCGATTTCTCGTTGGATTAAACAAAAAAATTGACTGTATATAAATTTAATGTAGTAGTAAGAAAAACATGAGATTCAACCGTTAAAATACACACTAGACACTTAATTACACATTCAGACATTATTACATACCTGATTTAATGCGCGCATTAAAATACGTGGTACATTATACAATACAAGTACAACGAAACATGCAGACAAGTCACTTACCAATGCCAGCGGTCGCTTTAGAGTCTCGAACACAAGATGATCGCTGACAAATCTGGCGCAGCCAAACCATGTGTGAAGCTCCGGATAAGCCAGTACACTCGGTCTTACACTCGTCGATACGAATTTCTGATAACATAAGTTGTAATAATAATTATTATTAAAATTAAGAAAAAATTATTAATGATAAGCTAAAAGATTCAGTAATTGACATTAGCCTAATTGTTTGAAAATTGCAATTTTATTTTAATTAAAAAAATAAAATTGGGTTTTGTTTTGTTTCTTTTTAGTAAAATAAAATTAAAAATCAATAAAAAAATTAAAATTAAAAATCAATTATCTTAAATTTCATAACTCAAAAATTATATTTATTAATTTATTGGGTTGATTTATTTTTTTTAATTAAAATAAAATTGCAAGTATCAATAATTAGGCCAGTGTCAATAACTTGGTCTTTTATCTTAAATTAAAAAAAAAAAAAAGTATTTATAATTGATAAAAAAAAATTAAAGATGATAAAACAATTATATTCATAAAAAAAAAATAAAAATATATATTGGAATGTTGATGATTGTTTGTATATGATATTTTGAAAGGAAGAAATAATTAAAATTGAATTTATTGATTTAACTCGATGCGCTAACGATTCACCGCTACTATCTGTAAATTGTTATTTAACAGAAAATTTATTGTGTAAATAATAAATCAGTAATTACTGATTTTATCGGAGATTACTAATTTTATATATGTATGGTGAACGTTTTGAGAAGCTTAAAAGATTAACAAAAGAGTTATTGTAGTTAAAAAAAAAAAAAAGTTCAATATGTATGACGTCGAGTGTGTTGATTATTAATTGTCGCCACCGATCAGCCAATCATCGAGTTTACAACAGTATTGACGGTATATGTTTAATTGCAACTCGTGTATTTGAATTTGAAGGAAGAAAAAAAATATTAATATAAATAAGAGACATGCTTGGTTATTTTTTAATAAATTATATAATCTTGTAGACTCGATGATTAATCAATTAATTATTATTAATGCTGTATGAGAGTTGATTGTTAATTAATTTGAGAGTAAGAAGTGTAATTAATATGGTATTGTATAATTTTTAATGAAAACCAAAGCGATAATGCCTATGATTATATATATTGAGGCACTTTATCTGTAAATATGATTACGACGGCATGTACGCGGATTTAAATACAAATTACAAACATAGGCAAAGTAAAGAGGTTAATCGATAATAGTTATTGATAAATGATAAATTTGATGGAATTATTATATAATTCAAAGACAAATTAACAAAGTTATGCTAGGACCGTTTAAGTAGTGTTGATACAAGGCATATTATTTTATTGAAGATATATTATGATGGAAAATAGGCAATTTCTTTTCATTTTCTAATAAAATAATAAGATTGTCAATTATTTAGATGGATAGAGCAATTGCGATTGCGTTAAACATTCCTTTGTTTTGTAAAATTATTACTTGTTCTATGACAAGTTTTTTATTGTTTGAATTATTATTATTTTCATCTGTTTATTTTGAAATTTTTTACTGATGAATGCCTTTGTATATTGTAAAAAAAATATTTATTTAAAAATACATCGAGTTGCTGAAAATTTAAAACAATGTTTTTATTCTATTATTTATTTATCATTAATCACCCAATCCTCTTTAATTTAAGTATATCAATTATTTTAAGTATAGGTTTAATGAAGGTAAGTGATAATTTTTTTTTTATCTAAAGGTAGTAATTAATTTAGATTAAAAATAAAAATTTTAATGTTTTTAATAAAATAAAAAAAAAATTTAAATAAAGTTTTTAGTTGAAAAAAAATTATGTTTTTAAAGAAACTTGTAGTATTATTATAAAAAATTTTTTAATGGAAATTCAGAGAGGAGTAATGAAAAATTCACGGATGAAATATTAACAACCTGTTACTGCGAAAAATTTAAAGGTCAATAATCGATTGTCATAAAAAGCATCAAGGTCGGGAATTAAAATTTCAAGGGTAGTCCAAAAAGTGAATAACTTACTCGTCTATTGAATGCTAAAAATAAAAATTAATTCATCTCATATTGGATAATGTTTTGACTAAAAAAATGAGAAAACAAAATTGAGATGTAGAAATATGAAAACATTAAAAATGCAATTGTTTAAAAATAATTTTTTTAAACAAATTAGTTTTTAAATCAAATTAAAAAATTTTTAAGTGACAGCTAATTTTTAATGTCATAAATTAAAAAAAAAATGAAAATTAATACATCACATATTTGATAATTTTATGAATTTTTTTACCAAAAAAAAAATTGACGTACAAATATTAAAAAATTAAATTTTTTCAAAATAATTTATTGAAAACAATTTGTATGTTAAATAAAATTTATAAATTTTTTAGTGACAGCTAACTTCTAATGTCATTTAAAAGCAAATAAATTATGACAGAAAAAATTAACATTAAAAAAATACTAAAATTGCAATTTTTTTTAAATAAATTTTTTAAGAGATTTTATAAGTCAAATAAGATAAAAAAATTTTCAGCTAACTTTAATATCATATATTATAAAAAAAAAATAAATAAAATATAATAATAATCACCTGCACACCACACTCATTATAGCGAGCCAGCACGAGCGGTTTGCGATCTGGATTATTATCCTGAAACATTTTCCTAAAATTTTCAGCATGACTCAACAGCAACTTTTCCTTTTCCGAAACAGTCCAATAACTTTTGGGTAACTCGGCAAATGCGAAATTGGCGTCCTCAGCATCAGCTTGTAAAGTTGGCGACGACAACCGGATGAATCCTAACTCGTATAATTTTTCGTCGTTTATTTGGTCATTAGTCACATTTAAATCCTCTTCGTCGGTCGCCTCGATCTTATTTCCATTCTCGACGTCATCAGGATTACCGTGCACCTGCTCTTGATTCTCATTTGATTCATATCGATTGCGCAACAGACTCCCTTCATTTTCGCTCCCGTCAATATCCATTGTTATTACTGTTATTATAATCGCTTCACAGTTTTTTTTTTTTTTTTATTTTTATCCTATTCTCTCCCTTTTACTACTACAATACCACGTGGCTACGATTCAATTACATACTATTGACGCTTAGTCACTCCCTTGTCAATGATATCCTCTATATTTATACAGTATCTCTGCTCTCATTTCGGGGTCGCAGTTTTGTTTTATTTCAACTGAATAAAAAGAACTAAACAAACCGCTTATCACCATGGCAATCACCTGCTTCCGCATTATTAGCGCCATCTGTAATTCAAAAAAATTCAACTGTCATTGAGAGCTGAGTTTCCATCAGTCGGTAATTTTGCAAACTAAAATAGCGCCCTACTCACCCATTGGTCAGCACAATTTCGCGCGATTAAAAATTTTTTTTTAAACGGGACAGGAAACTAATTTATCGATTCATTTGCTTTAAATCTACAAAAAAAAAAATAATATTTACTATTAAGTATTTTTTTTTAATTTTAATTTATACTAAACTAGCAACTTTGCAGTCACTATGTGACTGCCCTGAATTATGAATTGTAAATAAATAAAATTTTGCTTTATTAAATAATGATTTTTGTTAAATTGCAATGTACTTTTTTAAATATTGACGTTTTTAAAGATATAAGCTCATCCCGATGTTACACTCATCAAGAGCTTTCATTTGAGTACCCACATGCATTTTTATATATTTTTCATACATACATATATGTAATATATATAAATTTATAAAATATATGAAAAATTGATGTAGGTACTCAAATGAAAGGTCTCGATGAGTGTGATTTCAGGATGAGCTTATATCTTTAAAAATATCAATAGTTGACAAGATACAAGGTAATTTCTTAATTATAGACATTTTTAAAGATATAAGCTCATCCCGATGTAACACTCATCAAGAGCTTTCATTTGAGTACACACACGCATTTTTGATATATTTTTCATATATACATAAATATAATATATATAAATATATAAAATATATGAAAAATTGATGTAGGTACTCAAATGAAAGGTCTCAATGAGTGTAATGTCGGGGTGAGCTTATATTTTCAAAAATGCCAATAGTTTACAAGATACCAAGTCATTTCTTAATTATGTATCTAGAGATACTGAAGTTTGCTAACAGCTGTCAATTTTTTTTTAATTTTATAAAAAATCAATTACAATAAAAATAATGTTTTAAAAAATATAAAAACTAATTTAGCAGATATTTAATAATTTTTCTTAACAAATAAATTATAGCAAAAAAAATTGACACGTAAAAATTTTAAAAAATTAAAAATGAAATTCTTCAGATGAAATTAATTTGTTAAAAAACATTTTTAAATGCTCAAATGACAACTTTAATGTCACCTAAAAAATGTCTACTGATATTTCTTTTTTAATTTTTAAATGTTGAATTTCTTTTTATAATAATTTCTTAGCTATACAATTCTAAAAAAAAACCTCTAATATAATGTCAATTACGTTTAGTGTCATGATTGATTTAAACAAAAAAAAATTACTAATGGATATCTACAGCATATTGAGTCATGAAAACATATCTCGATATTTTTTAATAACGCATTATAATTTTATGAATAAAAAATTTTAGTTACATTTTAATATCGGTAAAAAACATCGTTAGAACAAAATTACATACGAGCGATGAATCTTACCTTCCTTAATATAAATTTTACACGTACATACATATATATATATATATATATTTATATTTATATAGATATTTATCGTCTTTGAACTCTGTAGTTTTATATTTTATCAATATAAAGTATTTTTTTATATATATATTCTATATAATATAACAATTATCATATTATATGTCGTGTTAATAAACCATTACTGGGATTCAATGATTTTCTTAATTCAACATAAGAACCTTCCATCCGCTGTCATGAAACGATTTTTGCACCAGTTAAATGATTATTCGCCCTTAAAAACATTCGTCAAGTAATAAGTAATAATCATTAGATCGAACTCGTTGATTCCGTTGGTTTTTTTCCACAATTAAACCACTTAGATTTAATATCCTTAAGCATTAATTTAAAATTAATTATATTAACGTTACTTAGTCAAAATAATGACAATAATTATGAATTATCAATAAAGAGTTTGCGCGATTCGGACAAAATATTGGAGCTCACTCATGTTGACTTCTTTTAGCGACAAAGCTTAAATCTATAAATTATTTTTAAAATAATGGTAATAAAAAAGTTTTGTCATATCCTTGACGTGGATTTAAATATATCGGTATAGTATAGTAATATAGTGTGTTAATTAATATATTAAATATTATTAATTAACATCACGAGGATCCTGCCTCCACTTTTGAGCGGCCTCGCGTCTTGCGTCCGGCACCAATTGAGATCTCATACCGCCAAGTACATTGCTCGTTGCTTCTGTTGCGAGAATAATCGGCTTAACCACTGTAGGTGGTATTTGCCGCAATACACCACCAACAGCTCCACTAACTCCCTTTTGTTCATGTTCCTCACTTGCAACGCGTACTAACTGATTTGCGGTTTCACCTAAACCCTAAAAATTAAAAAAAAAAAATTAATATATTAATTCTTAATTCCAAGAATTTTAGTTAAGGTAAAAGACCCAATTATTGACACTTGCAATTTTATTTTAATTAAATAAAACAAATTGACTTTAATAAATTAATAAATATAATTTTTTAATTATAAATTTTAAGATAATTTTTTGAAAACATTTAATTTTTTTAATTAGAATGATATTGGAAGTGTCAAAACTGGATCTTTTACCTTACATCCTTAAATACTAATGAAAAAAAAAATAACAAACCTCTTTGACTAGCATGTAAGCATTGGCCATTCCTTCGCGTATATCTAAAGGCTGATTGTAACGCTTACGTCGTCCTTTCTGACCTTTTTGTTTTCTTCGTACACTAGGCCCAGGACTGACCATGTCATAGGCCGTTTCTGCAGTACTCTGGATCACATGGACCAACCTGGACGTTAGTTCTAGAGCAGCCATCGCTGTTGAAGTTGTAAAACTATTTGCTCCACGTTGTAGACCTCGTACTATTCTTCCGTCTCTTTGATACTGTTCTATTGGCAGCCAGAATAAATCTCTGAAGCCTTGGACTGATTAAAGAAGAAAAAAAAAATTAATATAATTATTTACAAGTGGGGTTCATCATTTTAATTTTTAATATTTTGAATGAAATTTCTATTTCATTTTATTGATATATATTTTTCTTTTAAATACCTAAAAAAATTAACAATTAAAAAAAAAAAAAATTGACTATCACAATTTTAAGAAATTTTCAAAAAAATATAAACTTGTTTTTTCTTCTAAATTGTTCGTTTTTTTATGTACTTAAAAAAAATAGATATATACATCAAAACATCAAAAAAAAGATAAAATAAAAATTTTATCCAAAAACATGAGAGCCAAATTATTTTTTATAAAAAAAAAATAAATAAATTATTAATTAATAAAAAAAAAAAAAAAAATTAGATAGGAATTTAAAAATAATAAAATACTCACACAGCTGAACTAATGAATGCATAGGACCAACCCCGCCTAACAAACTCGGCAGTTGATTTTTTTTAATATCCTGTAACCATTCAGCCAGTATAAAAGCCATGAGTTTATCAATACCAAGTAAACCGTGACGGTGCGTCAGCCGTTTCAGTCTTAGTTCAGAACAGTTGAGTTGTGCCAAACCCATTAATAAACCAGCCATCGGTCCGTGGGTCAAGTCTACCCTTTTTCCATGGTAATCTAATCTCACAAGTACTTCTGGTGCGAATATAACACTCCTAAAATAAAAAAAATCAATAATCAATCATTAAAAAAAAAACAATCTAAATAAATAAATAAAAAAAAAAAAATTACCTAAAATAAATAGGCTGACTGTCATCCTGAGATCCACAGCTGGTCTTAATTTTAGTTTTATTCTCTTTGATTGTCAGCTCGTCCTCCAAGAGTATCATCAAATTCTGATCAACAATATTACTATCAATAAGCCTGGGACTATCCTGCCTCGGCATATCAGAAGCTTCATCATTAACACTCATCACCGGCGGATGATGAGTAGGCGTGCTCTGTTTAGACCCAGGCGAAGACTGGGTCGTACTAGGTCCATTAATATTATCCTGACTGGCCTTCATATTCCCGGTCAGTTCCGTGAAGAAATCAATCAAAAACAACAAGCTATCCTGATCAATATTGAGTCTCAGTGGCAAGAGACTCAGCTTCAAACAGCACTCTTGAGCGCTGAATTTCGGATCAGGCCTCACATGAACCGCCTTCATAGCAAACATATTCGCATGTGTTTGCCTCGGACACGCTTCACTACTATACTGGTACAAAAATTTGTTAATATGCGAAGAAGCCAGCCTGTCCCTAATTTCAATTTCGCTTATCAGCAATACTTGTCTCGACGCTTCAGTAGTATTTTCCGGATAAGTCTCATGCTGGAACCTCACTTTATTTAATTGCAATTCCATCAGGACATCATGTTGTCTTCCAGGGCCACCCTGGACGTACCAATTCTTCGCAGACTTCATTTTTCCACAAGGCGAATTAGGAGCGCTTCCAAATCTCACTTCATGAGGATTAACTTTACTAAATCCCACAACCGCTGACCTGCTACGACCCAGAGAATTATCAAACCTACTCGCCGGGTCTTCAATAGTCACATTCTTCTTCTTCACCGGTAATTTTCCAAAATCCTTCCCGCCATACATATGCCAGACCAGAGTCATCTCGCAAAGAGTGTACCTCAAAACCGGTGCAGGAAAATGTTTAGGAGCCTTCAGCAAATCCGTCTTACCCAATGGCACAGCAAAGTGATTATCAACAACTCTAATATATTCCTGACTTAGCCAACGAATCTCCGGAATTCCGTGCCTTGGCATGATTCCAGCTCCCGCTTCTTCCCCCAGTATACAAAAATCTTCATCAGTATCATCCGACTCAGCACCGCGAAGCGGTAAATTATTATTAATATTATTATTATTGCTCATCTCGGGGACCTGAGTCGCCGGATGAGGTTCGTCTGGGAAGAAGAACACTTCAACTTGTTGCTTCTCTTCCGGAGATTTTTTACTCAAGCTCGTAGTGCTTCCTCTGACCGTATCTTCCATCGCTTCTTCCATTAAAGTATTAACCCGTTCTTCCTGACTCTTGCTCAACATATTGATACTATCTTCTCCCAATAAACTCTCTTCATCCCCGGAACTAGGCACAGCGATGCTCTCAGTGCTCCCAATATTCGGAGAAAGATCTCCATCACTCGCAAAGTAAGTCAGAAGCTGCATCAAAGCCCTCCCGGAATCAGCGCAAGTTCTAACGTGAAGCACATTATTACTCGCCCGCAAATCAACTCTTGGAGCACCACCGCACATCTTCTCGTTAAGCCTCAAGGATAATTCAAACAATCCCAAGTCCATCACTCCGATGTAGTCGTGTTTTAGGTCTACGTGGTTCCCCAGTTTTTCTGACAGAAAAAGCGCGACGTCTTCGGCGATGAATCTCAGAGTCGAAGTGTTTGTCTTAGCAGCGATGTTACTGGAGACACTGAAGCTTCCTAGAGTTATCATCGACCTCAGGGGAAGATACAGAGGTCTGTAATCAACCGCGCAGTTCCAGAGGTGGAGATGAAGCTCTGTAAGCACTCCCGGTGGAGAATAACCAGCGACCGGGTGGTCTATCACGTCGAGACAGTCTGTGAGCTGAGTGAACCAAGAAGCTTGCGAGGAACACATTCGGTGTCTCAAAGTCGCGTTTCTGATTCCAACAGCCACTCGGAAGGTTTTTATATGATGAGTTTGATGAGCTGCTTGGATCCTTACAGCTACTGTCAGCATATCTGAGTCATCTGAATCTTTTTCTTGTCCGTTGTTGCTTCTATAAATTGCCGGCTGACAGTGTCTGGGAATCACGCTGTTGATAGACCTCAATGGTGGAGTTGTTGAAGGAATTGTTGTGATTCCACAGTGATTTAACGAGACACTTTTGATCATAGTACAAACATATCCCAGGTTAGCGTTTCCTTTGTAAGAATTTACGCAGAATATTGTAGCATCTTCAACCCTAATTATCAATTCTCCCTGCTGGCCGGGAATTACATTAGAGAGAACATCACGGACTGGTGTGTACATTGTAAGCAATCCGTCGTGAATATTTAATGTAAGCGACATTTTACTCTGTCCGTTCTTCGGAGCTTTGTTAAGAGTTTGATTAAAACTTTTTTCAGCTACAGAATGAAAAACTCCGTCCTCATCGCTGTCGGAGTCTGAGTCATACTGAATTCCGCTTTTGCACATGCTGAATTTAGGATGAACTGACTCTTGGAGCAAAGTCGAAGCTAGGTCAAGCCCGCCGTGAGGATCTGTGATTGTATACTTAGGTCTTGGAGCAGAAGGCTCCCAAAGGAAGAGATCAGTGTTGATTCTGTTGTAAATCTGCTCGTAGAGCCGCTTTGAGGGGATCTGAACGGATAAACACGGCAGACTGATGTCAATCTGAACTCTTGAGCCTTGAGTACCTTCTTCCATAAATTCCAACATCTCTTGTCGGTTGCCGGGGATTATAAGCTCCTCTCCTTCACGGTGCTCATGGTCGTCTTTGTTAGAACCAGTATGAGCCTGAGATTCGCTGTGAGGAGTGTCTGACTCGTGGATCACTCGCTTGGAGCTAAACGGTGAAGGTTGGTGTCTTGGCGGCTGTCCCAAGGATTCGTCCAAGCTGGACCCTGGTTCTTCTTCCGAGCTGTCTTCCAAGGGACCTCCCAAGTGTTGGGGGTAAATTGTGAAGACCATCCTGGGCCAGCCGAAGCACTCGCCTTCGTGTGGCATTAAGCTGTCAGGTTTATCATTGACGTGGCTGGTGGCAATTTTAATCGGGATGTCCGAGTCTATTTCTGTGTAAGTTAGCAAGACTTGTCGGCATTGAATCTCTTGTCTTGATAAATAGTGAGCTTGGCTGTCCATCGACGTGTGGAATTGTGCGTCTGTTAACGTGAGCGTGATAAAATCTGACCTTACTGAGCGGGTCCACCAAGGCGCTCTGCTCATGTCATGCAAGGGTCGCAGGTCTGGCACGGGAAATCTTACTTTAAGTATAGCACGTGAGGAAGATACTTTAATATTCACCCGAGAGTCTGAAAGAATCGGGCTTTCGACGGCTTGGTAGAACATTGTGTGTTGGTTCCACATATCTTTGGCCGTCGAGGAGGGGTTGTAGGTGCAAATAGGCTGGGGATTTAACACCGAAGATATTCTGTCGATTATTGTAATGTCAATTTCACTCTGACAAGGGTCCAGCTGGACGTCAATTTCCGTGCGTGGGTGAGCGAATTTAGTCACTTGGGCTTGACGTACTGCTTTCTCAGTGTACTTGAATCTCATGCGAAAGTCCGTTCTGTTCAAGAGTCCAAAGTTGTCAGTGGCTGTTGACTTGTTATCAAAGGTCAGCAGTTCAACGTATTCGACTTTTGGAGTCTCGGAATTAGTGCTAGTGTCTACTAGACACTCGACTAATTCAAGAGTCGCTAGAGTCAGGCTTCCGTTTATTGCTGATGATTGAGGAGTTGTTTTTTCACTTCCTTCAACCACCAGGGGGGCAGCGAGTAACCGGATGTGACTGAGTCGACAAGCGTCGAGGAATATTTTAGCTGCTTTGTCGAAATTTTTGTTACCGTAGCCGTCAGCGGCAAAAATTCCAAGTTTGCTGAAGAATTCTTCAGAAGCGGTTTTCATCTGCTCGGTACTCGCGCAAGTCAAGCCCCGGGATTCTATTCCAGTTGTTAGGATGTCTTCATGCAATAGTATCACTGCAATTGAAGACACTCTGATGTGAAACTGGGAAGTTTCTGCGGTAGGATCAGAGTCGGCGTTAACGCGGTGTTTGTGAGGCTTTGAGACATTTGTAACGGAGCTCTTTGAACTTATGCTGCTGGCGGAAATACTTTCGTCCATGCTGATGTTGTTTGTCGTTTGAGAGTCGCTCATACCTCCAAGCTTCATGGGCAGAAATTCGTCCTCGTTGTCAGACTCGTCTAACGAAGCGGTGGACCAGCCTTGAGTATTGCGTAAGTCGGTGGTACGTAAACCATGGACTGGATGTAATTGATGCATCAGCTCTCTTTCGACGCGGCTGAAGTCACTTCCAGCCATTGGTTTTTCGGCACAAGTTCGAGGGGCTACGTTGCTTATGTCTTCGAGATCTGGAGATGCTAGTCCGTGGCTTAGTTCCATTAGCACGTGTACTTGTCGCGGGCTTAGAAATGATATGAAAGATCCTAGAGTTACTTCTAACTCGACTTTTGGACCCAGGATGCCTTCGCCTTGTTTTAATTTTAATCTTATCTCCTGACGGCCTGTTATTTTTGCGCACATTATTGGGTTTGATTGGCTTAATGTATTTAGTAAATTTCTTTCTGGAGGTGTTGGGATATTGTGTTGCGTTGGTGATATTTGTGCGGATGAAAATTGTCCATCTGAATTCTGAAATTATAAATTTTTATTAATTAGTATTTTTTTTTTTAACTAAAAAATTAAATCTGTATGATTGAGAGAATAAGAAAAATGTTGTGTCTAGGATAATCATATGGGCTAATCAGGTTTTTTTTAATGATGTTAGGCTGCATTCGAAAATTATCTCTAGATACATAATTAAAAAATGAACTTGTATCTTGTCAACTAATGATATTTTTAAAGATATAAGCTCATCCTGATATTCTTCTCATCGAAACCTTTCATTTGAGTACCCACATCAATTTTTCATATATTTATATATATTATATATATATATATGTATATATGAAAAATATATAAAAATGCATGTGGGTACTCAAATGAAAGCTCTTGATGAGTGTAACATCGGGATGAGCTTATATCTCTAAAAACGTCAATATTTAAAAAAGTACAGTGCAATTTAACAAAATTCATTATTTAATGAAGCAAAATTTTATTTATTTATAATTCACGTCACGACAGTTATATAGTGACTTCAAGATTGCTAGTAGTAATTATTAAATAAATAAATTAATAGAAATTTTTTCTTTCTCAATATATTAGAAAAAAAAATACCTTTGAATCAGGCGTAGAACCTCTGCTGGTAGTCATAACACTCCTCGAGAAAGTCCTAGCCCGACTAGGAAACTCGTCAGTATGAAAAGTGACTCCTTCCAAATAAAATCGCTTGGTCGTAAAAGCAGAAACGACATAGCCCTTAGACGGCTGATTGGCGTCCAAATTGACATTGCTGGGATCGGATCCAGCTTCATCAGAGTATTCTAAATTTTTTATGCACATCTCAATAGCAACCCCGGTAGTTGAGTCGAGAGGCACATGCTCCAATCTTATTACCGTGTCAATAAAGCGTACTCTTACACGACACAATATCGAGTCGATAGTCTGTGCAAATAATTCAACGCCTTCAAGAGGTTGTGCATTGTTACCACCTGTATTATTAGCGTCTTGCTGCAAACATTCTTGAGCCAACTGCATGCTAGATGTCATAGAACTCCACATTGACTCGAACATTGAAGTCCCCGTCTCAGTTCTTTGTCTCGGTTGGACTGTAATTTTGAGACCTTTGACCTCGACATAACTAGCCTCGCTGAGCAATGCCGACCAGGGTATGCTTACGGACATTTCCGATATAAATCCATCGACAAACTCGAGTGGCAAGTGCTGTTGCTCGCCCATCTCATTAAGCGCCTAGAAGATTAAAAAAATAAATTGTAATTATATTTAAAAAATAAAAAATGAAACAATTAAAATTGCAACACATATTTAATAATTTGAAAAATTTTATAACAAATAAATTATGGGAAAAAAAATAAGAAAAAAAAATTGACATCTAGAAATTTAAAAAAATAAAAAATGCAATTTTTTTTAAATAATTTTTTTGAGCAAATCTTTTTGTTAAATAAATTTAAAAAATTGTCAAGTGACAGCTAACTTAAATTTCATAATAAAACATGTTATTAAATTATTCTGGTTATTATTAAATTATTAAAAAAATAAAAAAAAAAAAATTGACATCTAGAAATTTAAAAAAATGAAAATTGCAATTTTTTTAAAAATAATTTTTTTTTAAGTAAAATTAAAAGATTGTTTAGTGACAGCTAATTCAAATGTCATAAATTAATGTAGCACATACTTAATAATTAAAAAAATTTTATAACAAATAAATTATGGCAAAAAAAAATAAGAAAAAAAAATTAACATCTATAAATTTAAAAAAATAAAAAATGCAATTTTTTAAAAATAATTTTTTTGAACAAATTTTTTGTTAAATAAAATTAAAAAATTGTTAAGTGACAGCTAACTTAAATGTCATAATAAAACATGTTATTAAATTATTCTTGTTAATTATTTATGCAGTCTTGAGTTTCTAATAAAATAAATAAATATTTAAACTGATTTAAAATTTAAGACGTCACATTCAGAACAAAGGAAATATTTTTTACCTGAACATCAAGGCTGACATTAGTGACTCTTCCAGTTCCATTATAAAGATCAACAGTGAGCTGATCAAGTGTGAGTTTTTCCTCCAAAAATTGTCCTAGATAACGTTGAAGTAAATACCTGCAAGCTCGTTTTTTAATGCTCTCCGACCAAGGAAATCTTACAAGCCAAGACATTGTGAGTCGAGGCTTTCCACAGCAGTCAAAAAATAATAATTATTCTCCGTAAAAAAACATGGATGGTTTGGCTTGATTTAAAATAATTAACATTGTCATTTTTACGCAGTGTCAATTGTTATGCACGCGTAACACGCGCTCGACAATATAATTCCGAAAAATTCATATTCACAACACGTGTTGTCGTATTATTATTTGAGTTACGATTACGATTTGAGACTGATATAGTAGCAAACATAATAAATAATAAATAATATAATAATTAAAAGAAAAAATAATAATTATAATGTCAATAATAATAATAATTAAAATAATGATAACAAAGCAACGACGAGGTGACGGTGACTAAGATTTGTCGTATTTATTTTTTTTTTTTTAACAGCAGCAGAACAGCCAGCAGCGTATATACGACTGATCAAAAACAGAGACAGAAGATGATCCAGTATAATGCAATATAGTGATCATTTAAATCCACGACCAGACAATAAACTTGTATTTATGTTAAATATTTAAGTATTTGCTGTATTGTTATATTATAACGGTGTTCCAGCTGTTTTATGTTTTTGTACTAAGTGACGCTCGTGTTAACCAACCACACACAACATTACTTTGTTTCCATTGATTGAAATCAGCTGATTTCCAAACTCGTAGGCCGTAATACCATCCCAAGGCTGTGAATGGTGGCTTTTGTCATGGTATTAAACATTCGCTTTTAATGTCTGTGTTCATGTTTATTATTTCTACATACTTGTATTTTATTTGTGTGTGTGTACATCGTAGTTAATTTCACGGCGCACGGCTGCCAACTGTCTTTAATGCTGATGGATTTATTTTTTGAGAGAAAAATAAAAATATTAAAATACATTACACAAAACACTCTGACGGATCACACTAACACAGACAAAAGTTCATGAACAAACGACAAACTGGTAAATAAGACAATAACACGCGCGAAAATTTAACTGCGTATTTTTTTTAAGTCTATAAATATTTCCACGGTTTTATTTACGAAGCAAGAATTAATGACGCTGATTAAATATATGTGTTATCTGATGACAGTATGTTGTTGAAATAAACCAGGACTTGGTAGTAAAAAACAAAACAAAGACTTGTATGTCTTTAGACAGGCGGCCATTTTGAGGGAAATTTAGAGCGCATGCGCGGCAATCATAAAAATGCGCGCCGAAATTTTTAGTTCCCCGCTACGCGCTACTAGCGCTGCTTGTATGGTCCGCTGGTAAGATAGATGACTCGGCACAAAATGGCCGTCGGGTGATAGAATAGCGGCGACCGGGTAACTGAGAACACTTATATAGTATTGGAGCTCTAGAATTTTTGTTAAATAATAAAAATAAATCATTTCAGAGTTTGCAACATGTATTCTTACAAATTTTAACTGCAAATTTAGTATTTAATAATTTATTTATCGGTAAAAATAGTAGAAATTTTTTTTAAGGTTCGAGAATGTTCTTTAGTAAGGATTAATCGTACGTGAAGCTTAGTTTTTAATAAATAGGTAAAATTTATCTTTATTAGCTATGAATAATTATTATTTATTAATTAATTGCTGGAATAAATTTTTAAATGTCATTATTAGTTTACAAAAGTCATAAAAATAATCATTTAAATCCTAATTTTTTTTTTTAATTTCACTTCCTATATTCTTGATACAAGTCTGATGAAAATACAAAGAAGAATAAAAAGTTTAAAAATTAATGACATTTAATTTAGCTGTAACTTTTAATTTTTTTATTTTTAATTTTCAATTTTTTAATTTTTTTAACAAAAAAATTTTATCTAAAAAATTACGTTTTTAATTTATTAAAATTTTTAAAAGTCCATTTTTTTAATAATTTATTTATTAAAGAAAATCAAAAAAATTGTCAAGTGCCGGCTACATTTAATGTCATAAAAATTACGGAAGTTTTAGATTTATTATTATAAATATTATTATAGTTTTAGATTTAACTAGAATATTTAATTAATTTTTATTATAATTAAAACAGAAAATTTTAATTATTATTATTTACATTAAAAAATGAGAAAAAAGTAATTTTAGTTTTCTAAATAATAATTACTTGTTTGAAAAAAATTTTTTTTAATCAAATATTTAATGCTAATCACTAAAAATAATCTTATAATTTATTTTTTTCAGAAATCCATAATTTAAAGAGAAGATCCCGTGATCCGCATGGTAGCGACCTCTGGCTCAGCATCACAAGACTTGATCTCCCACTTGCAAGTCTAGGCCCAGCCCATCGGGCCCGAGAGATTCATGGTGGGGGCTCGCTGAAGGAGAAGTGGTCCGGCGTACGAGAGGAGGAGAGTCGACCGTGAAATTAAAACATGATGAGGGCTCTAGATTGAGATGCGAGATGAAGAGAAAGAGAGAAGAGCTCGAGGGAGAGCGAGAGCAGTCGATTGAACCGAGACGAGAAGGATTTCAAGGACGCATTCATCGATAATTTCGTCGGTGCTTGAGAATAAACGAAACAAAATTAGTTTTAGCAACGCAACTCTAATATCTTTATACACCATGAAGATTTAATTTAACAACAAAAAACTTTATTTAATTACTTATTCAATTAATTTAATTATATAATGATTCAATTATTAGAAAAGGTAAGATAAAAATTGATTAAACATAAAAAGATATACATATACTAGCAACCTTGCAGTCACTATGTGACTGATGTCGTGACTTAAAAAGTATAAATAAATAAAATTTTGCTTTATTAAATAATGAATTTTGTAAAATTGCACTGTATTTTTTTTAATATTGACGTTTTTAAAGATATTAGCTCATTCCGATGTTACATTTATCAAGAGCTTTCATTTGAGTACCCACATGCATTTTTATATATTTTTCATATATACATATATGTAATATATATAAATATATGAAAAATTGATGTGGGTACTCAAATGAAAGGTCTCGATGAGTGTAACATCGGGATGAGCTTATATCTTTAAAAATGTCATTAGTTGACAAGATAGCAAAGTCAGTTCTTAATTATTGACATTTTTTGAGATGTAAGCTCATCCCGATGTTACACTCATCAAGAGCTTTTATTTGAGTACCCACATGCATTTTGATATATTTTTCATATATACATATACGTAATATATATAAATATATGAAAAAATTGATGTGGGTACTCAAATGAAAGGTCTTGATGAGTGTAACATCAGGATGAGCTTATATCTTCAAAAATATCATTAGTTGACAAGATACAAATTCATTTTTTAATTATGTATCTAGAGATAATTTTCGAATGCAGCCTAAATATTTATCATAATAAATTTACTATCGGTGAGAATGATATGAAACCTTGAAAAGGCACAACTCCAGGTCAAGACCTTTCTAATGATTTAAATTTAAACATAAAAACTCATTTTATTATATAAATATACTGGCTACAAAATTTTTTTTTATTCTCTTAATAATATAGATTATTAATATTAATATCAACATTGCTTATGCCAATTTTTATTCCCCGACACACTAATGACGATAAAGAACAGCCAGACGCGGAGAGAAAAATTTCTAGACCCTCATCTCGGATTTCTTGTACCCGAGGAACCCCTGTGGTGTTTAGGACCTTTCGCCCCACGTCTCAGCTTGTTCTCATTCACGGAACTAGTTGATAATCCTCGGAAGGATTGCCACGCGCGAACGCGGCCAAAAGGTTCACCCTCACAGTCCAATAATTCTGATCCTAAGCCACACGGTTCTCCCACGTACGTTCACATTTAAATACTACACACTCTCTAAAGAAGTTTTACCGAACTTCGTCAAGTGAGAATTTTTTGCGCTTCCCGTTCTCTGATTTATATAAACTTTTTTTTATTCTTTTTTCAAGATGATCAAGTAGCAGAGGAATTCACAAGACCAACAGCGCTCGGAATTGGACGATGATTTTGGACTCTACTCTTCCGGACGATAGACTTATACCAATTGACAAAGCCTGATCTATCCACTACTTATGCGAGCGTGAGTAAGTATAAGGGCTCTTTATGTATCACATGCCACGGGATAAATTGTCCAGAAGTTTTCAG